GGGGGGGGGGGGGGGGGGGGTCAATCAATAGAGGTGTGTGATAAGAGGATGTTATAAGACAAAGTGTGAAATCCTAATCAGGCTGTAGTTTTAGAACAACTCTGCGCTGCCCTCAGTTCAACAGGAACGCCGACTGAGAACTGGCTGTAATAAAAAAGGCCGGCAATAAAAACGCCTCACTGTGGATGAGCTGTTATTCTAACTTAGGGTTTATTAAAAGGCCAGAACGTAACGGCCTGAGGGGCTTCAAGATCCACGGAACGGAGGCCGGTAAGATAAACACGGGGACACGGGACCATTAGCTGGTTTATCAGCCAATAAATTGATTTGGAAATCAATAACAAAGGGAGACAGGAAGCCGTCGCAGAGCGGTCGGCCATCGCCGCGAGCTGTTCTTCTGGTTACAGTCAATGGCAGCGGAGGTCAAAGGTCGTGGTCTCCGCTATTTTAATTATCGCTGCTTTAATTTGTTCTTAAATATTTAAGGAACTGTTTTTAAGACACGTTGGTGATGACAGTCGTCGAGCAGTTAACTAGTTAACTAGTTAACTGTTAGCCTGGAAATGGTTCTAAAGATCATAACAGTTCATAACAGTTAATAACAGTTATACATTAACAGTTGTCAGACATTTTTGATTTAGTTTTTAGTCCCAAAAATCAATACAAACTATAAAGTATCTATACTTTTTTAGATGATTTTAAATTTGAATCAGATTTAATGGAACCAACATAATGTGTAATATATTCATATTTTTAAAAACATGTTTAACTCTGTTTACTTAGTTTGTTTTTATTAAAATTTCATCATAACTCTGTTTACTTAGTTTGTTTTTATGGCATTAAAATTTCATCAAACTGTGTTTTATTAAACATTTGTACGTCCTGCCCTGATTCGTTTCCCATCATCCTTTGTTTCCCTTGTTTTTTTCTTTTTCCTCTTGTTTTTATCTGAGGATTTGTTGCATCAATAAATGTCATCATCGTTCGACTTTGGCCCCAGACAACTCCTCGTTTATTTTTCATCTCGTAAAACAAGGATGTCTTGGACGAAGAGTAAAACAATACCGCTGGTCCAGACCGACATAATTTAACTCAGCGTTTGTTGAACGTAATCGTCCGTCACGTCGTCCGTTTACCTGTCTGTAGATGAAGGTCCTGGTTGTTCCCACAGCTGCCGTGTTGGTGCTGTAACCACGTCTGTGTCTGTTCAGGCGGCTCAGCAGCAGTTCTTCCGTCTCAGCGTGTTGCTATATTTACGGCACCAAAGTGGACAAATATTTATGGATTCCTGTGTTTTCTCCTCCGTCGCAAACATTCCACGCAGCCGCTTGTTACCAGATGTCACAGTCAGTGAACGCCTCTGACGTGTTCAGACACCAAAGGGAGAAATTAAATTAAATACGACGTTTGGTTTTCTAAAAATACCAGGTTCAAGTGCGGAGTTGACCTTCAGAGGTCACGGAGCGATGATGGAGTCTGGGTTTCCTCTTGATTGACAGAATGGTGTCGCTCTCTACTCTGTGCTGGTTTATGTTAACTTTGTTTTTACCCCCCACCCCCTCCCCTCCTGCAGGTCTGTTGGGTTTTGGTTAATCAGGGCCCAGTCTCTTTTGTACTGCTACGAGCACGGGGTCCTGGGCTCCTTCTCCGAGGAGGCGAGGAGCTGCAGCTGCCCGGCGGAGCAGCCCACCTGTCAGGGTGTGATCCCCTGCGTCGTGGGCACCTCACCCACCTCCTGCTCCTCCTGCGCCAGTGACAACGCCACCCGCTGCGGAGCCTGTCATCACGGCAACTTTCTGCTCCTCGGCTCCTGCCACCCGAGCATCGCGGCGTCCCTGGACCACTACTTGAACTTTGACCTGGACATGCCAGATGCAGAAGTATGTAGACGCTGACTCCAGTTCATTTACACTGATCCTCTGTTGAGCACATGTTGAAAATAGAAGTGGTGTAAACACACACTCTGTGACTCTGTGACTCTACTGTATTTCATAAGTGCAGTATTTTCCACGGCTCTTGTCAGTAATTTAAACTTTTAGATAACTTTCCTTCTGCTAAAGCGTGAACATACGCCACCCTCTCACTCTGCTACCTGAAGAAAAAATCACTGCCGAGCTCCAACCCTCCCACAGCGTTCACACCGACAGCCTGGAAGCTTCTCTCACGTCACCACATACTTTGAAACTTTGGAAGGCAGCGGTTATTCTTGACGCCAGTTTGGGACGGAGGCTGCGGTGCAGCCAGCTCACACGGCAGAGTCGTTAAAAATACAGCAAATCACACGCCTGTAGAAGACGTTTCCAACATCTTAGATTATGTCAAAGTGATATCAGACGGCCCTGAAGGGGAGCCAGAGGAGTGGGTTTCATTTAACGGCTGAAACTGAAGTTTTAGAATCAGTGAAAATGACTCTGCAGTTAATGAGAAAACTTGGCCAGTTCTGAATAAATGTCAGCGGTGCTGTAGCTAAAGTTTTTTTTGGACGTAGCCCCCTTGCTCTTGAGAAGTGGCACTGCAGCCAAGACAGCTTTTCTGGGTGGCTTTTCTACACTTTCTATATATAATACATGTCTGAGCTCGGAGTCTGCCAGACCCGTGTCCCTAAGCAAACAGCACACATTCTGACACAGTTTCATAGTTAAAGTTAAAGAAGAAAAAACGCTATTTGACACAGTTTTCTAAAAAAATAATAATAAAATAAGTTCTGGAAATAAACGCTGATTCAGCTGTCAAGAGTTTAAATGTTTTTAAATCCATCAGACAGTTGTGTCAGGTGGTCAGCTGTATCAAAGATCGTATTCATTTCAATGTGAAATGTACTGACACTGTGTGTGGAGGTGGTTTTTAACCAACTAGTCTCCCTGTATTTGCCCCCTCCCCCCCCAGGTGAAGTACCTGCTCCAGGGTCTGGACAGTAGAATAGAGGTCCACGCCATCTACATCAGCAATGACGTGCGTCTGGGAAGTTGGTTCAATCCTGGCTGGAGAAAGAGAATGTTGCTGACACTGAAGAGCAACAAAAACAAGTCCAATCTCATCCACATGCTGATGGGCATTTCCTTCCAGATCTGCCTGACTAAGAACTCCACACTGGAACCTGTGCCTGCCATTTATGTGAATCCTTTCGGCGGGAGTCACTCGGAGAGCTGGTTCATGCCGGTCAACCATCCCGACTTCCCGGACTGGCAGAGAACTCGACTGGACGCTGTCGTCACGGCGCAGTGTTACAACTGGACCCTGTTCCTCGGCAACCAGTGGAAGTCCTTCTTTGAAACGGTTCACATTTACCTGAGGAGCCGCATCATCACGGATGATCCCACGGTCAACGAGACCCTCTTCTACGAACCCTTGGACTTGGACGACCAGACATCCAACATGGGCTACATGAAGATAAACACACTCAAGGTGTTTGGCCACAGCCTGCACTTTGACCCCGAGGGCATCAAGGATCTCATCCTGCAGCTGGACTACCCCTACACACAGAGTACCCAGGACGCCGCCTTCATGATGCTGTTGGAAATGCGGGACCGGATTAACCGGCTGTCTCCTCCGGCGCCGCAGCCTCTGGACCTGTTTTCTTGCCTGTTGCGCCACAGACTCAAGGTCTCGGCCGGAGAAGTGGCTCGCATCAAGGAAGCCCTGCAGCTTTTTAACTCTAAGCTTCCCAATGCCTCCCCTGAACCTGAGCTGGCGCAGCTTTGTAGCTAGCTAAGCAGCTAAGAACATAAGCCGGGTTAGGGACGATGCCTAGGAGGGAAAGACTGAGTCGGTACCTCGGAGATAATGGTGGACTCGTGTGCCGACTCCCACTAGGCTTGTTTTTTTTTTTGAGTCAGATTTTCTGGATTAACGGAACCAGCTCATTACACCGACTGGGTGTTTCCTGTATTTTCTAAAGGTGGGTTTTCTGTTTCCACTTTTTTTCACAAATTGCTACCAGAACACACACAAAAAAAAACAAAAAAACTTGAAAGTGGATCTGAAGAGGAGCAGCGGACGTGTTGGATGCCTCACCCGCCTGGAGGCTGAGGTTTGTTGTCTGTGGCCCTGGTTTACAGACTGATGAAGTGGCTGAGGTGAGTTTCACTGACATTCACAGGGTAACGAATAGAAGCTCTGGAGAGATGATGTCACTGAAGAGAACAGGAAGGCCCTGCCATGAACAGAAGAAGCTCATTTTAATATATATATAGCTCTATAACTCTTGAAGTGGTTCTTGAAGTGGCTTCACCTTTTCTACAGCTATTTTCTTGGAAACAGCAGATGGGGAATATATCACGTGTGTTGAAAGAGTTATGTTATGGTTGATCAACCTGAACCCTGCTACTGTCTTTGAATTTATCTTCTTTTTTTTTTTTTTAATTCCTGCCTTTTTTTCCTCTTTGGCCTCTGAGTTTTCAAATTCTCCTTTGCTTAACATTTGGGCGTGAAGCCAGTTAGTAATGTTGTGTCTATGTTAGTGAGTGATGGCCAAAAGAAGGTAAACACGTATGCATTTTCAACAGAAAAATATAGGGGCGGGGGGGAAATGTTTTTTTTTTTATTTCATTTTATTTTATTTTATTTCCTGATGTGTTCATGGAAAGTTGAACGACAACAATGCTGTAAATAACGCTACATCTACCTGCAGGTGTGGACAAGTGCACAGTGCTTTTTAGTTAAATGACTGCAAAGACCAAAAAAAATGTTTATTACAAAATGACTTCATGCCTTATATGGAACTTTAATGTAAAGACAAGAAGCACATTTGATTTCCGTGGCTGGCGTTTCCAGTGGAGGGCGCTGTTTCTTTTTCATATTTCAGTATTTGGACCAGTGCAGAATGGCAGACAGATTTCTTTTTTTTTCCCAGGACCATGTGATGAAGTCGGTTTTCCGTGTAAATGCAAGTCAATACTTTCTGCGGTGTCTCTCTGTCACTCGGTGAAAACGCTCGGCAAAACCTTCTCCCAACAATTAGACAAAATCCAAGTGACCGACGTAATTCAGACGTAATTTTTTTTCCTTGCTGTCGTTTGGTTGAGTCTCAGGTCAACGTTTGTTTTTGTTCTTTTTTTTTTTAACCCAAACAGGAGACTTCTACAGGGTGGAGATGATTTGCATTTATTTGACTAATTTCTCACTGACGGTCAGTAAACCTTGTATGTCATTTTTAGCTGTTCTTCTGTGCTCAGCTTGCTTAAGTAAAAACAAAGTGGTTTATCAATCTGGTGTTGGTTTCCTTTGTATGAACCATAGAGTCATGTGTTGTGTGTTACAGCAGTGGTTGGACAATTCATGGTGGACTCTGTCCTTTTTGGCCACTGTGAAGTAAAAAAACACTAAAATATTTTTCATGTTGTGTGTTACAGCAGTGGTTGGACAACTCATGGTGCAGCAACCTTTTTGGCCACTGTGAAGTAAAAGCTTTTCACTATTACTATTGATAACAATAACCATTAAAAGGATTAAGATTGAAAAAAGCAGAAGAATCCTGCAGGGCTCTGGGAAAGACTAGAAGCTATTGGCCAGAGGCAGGACAGGTCATCAGTCCTCAAAGGAGGACGCTGTCACAGATGGTACTTCCTGGCTTACATCTTGTGGATTGCTGCCGTTGAAGTTGCCCTTCCCTTCTATCTGTGTCACCTCAAGAAGAAGTTGGAGGTGAGAGCTTTCATCAAGAGTCGGTCTGACTTTTCATGGAAAAGTGTAAACCAATCTATTTCTTACTTCAAAGGTCAAAATAATAGGGTGAACTTCTTGGTGCTGATGAAGAAAACTTTTTGACCAGAAGACAAAGATTTCAATTTCTCACTCTGTCTCTGTAACACAGAGCCTGGCAAAATAAAGCAGTGAAATGAGCTTCCTCTGCAGGGACGGACGCCTCGGTGTCAGAGGAGGGTTGGAAACCTCAGACGCTCCGCGGAGGCTCGCAGTGAGCTGTCACTGCTCATTTGGAGTCTCCTTTAGTCCAGGCTCCGGCTCTGGATGTCTTTAGGATTTCTTCCCTCCGAGGTCATTGAAGCCTGCCACTTTAGGAGCAGACACCGGAACAGGCACTTGGGAGAAATTACAACTCTCAGGTGGCTTAATGGTGCGGCAGTGTCCCCTGAAGGGGTTGGTGAAAGGGGCTAATCAGAGCAGAGACAGGTGTCCCCTGTCATCTGGACCTGGACGAGCAGAGGGAGACGGAGGTTAGCTCATCTAAATGGTTCTACCGCCTCCACCTCACACACTGAATACTTTCATGTACATTTTTTTAAGGAAAAAAAAAGGAAGGAGAGTGAACTCCTTGTCTGCTTTTAACCCATCACCGAAGTGAACAGTGGCAGCTTTGAGTACCCAGAGGGCAGTGTGGGCACCTCAGTGGTAACTTGGCAGCTGGTGGAGTCGAACCTAAAACCTTCAGGACCCAGGTCCTCTTCCTTAACCACTAAGCCACAACTGCCCCAATCGTGTTGTAGATCCAAGGTTCACGTCTTCAATGGAATAGAATGGACCAGGACGCAGCCTGTTGGACAACAGCGTCTCTGACCAGTCAGGTGACACTTTACTGACTTTACTCTTTCAATTAGATTTCAGTTTACAGACTTGACATTATTAAATTGAATCTCAGCTGTGTTCCAGAAAAACAGGGTAAGGAATTACTGTTTTCAGGGCAGCAATGTGAGTACCCATAATGCCCGGCTTCCAGCTAGGCTAACAGAGTGTAGCTAACTCCAGGGCCTGACCAGGCACATCCTCTCACTCACTCGTCCCTTCATCACCTGCTTCTTCATACATTTCAGAGTCATGGTGCTGGAGCTGGAGCTGATCTCTGCAGTCATGGATCCATGCTGGTCAGTACTGATGTGATTCAGACAACCGTTCACACTCACATTCACACCACACTCAGTTTAGAGTGAATAAATTAAGCCTAATTCTGCCTGTTTTTTTGTAATGTGGAACAGTTCGACCAGACCACCTGGAGGAGGAGACCTCGACCCAAGACTCAAACCTCCAACCGTTGATCTTCTAAGTGTAAGGTAAGGCAAAACACCAAGTCACCCTGTCGCCCCCTGCCTGATGATGAACAGAAATTCACAACAAAAAAACAACAAAGATTAACAGTGGCAGTTGTAAATCAATACCTCTGTTTTTTTCAGACAAATTATTTGGAGTGAATGATTAGAAAATAACAGTCTGTGAGTTAATTAACGGCTTGATTATGATAGAGATGAGACTCAGCGTTCAGTAGGAGTTCATCAGACTGTACGAGCCGTGGCTGAACACAGACTCACCTCCCTCCACCTGTCTCCTATTGATTTGTTCTGACCCGAGGAACTGGAGCTGGGCTCCGCCTGACGATAGGTTAAGACGGGTTACAGTCTTGACAGGAGGCTGGTCCCTCGGAACAACGGGAGGATTGACAGGAGGCTGGTCCCTCGGAACAACAGACGATCGCGTCCGTGTCTGTGGTCGATAAGGAGCTCCACTGTTAACCTTACATCTAATCTGATATACAAATATTTTCATATATGTATACATATATGAGTCCACATATATTTATACATATATGTGTATATATATACTATATATTTCATCCACCCCTTAGCTCTGATGGTTTTTTCGCACTCCTCTGTTCCTTCTATTTTCTAACTAAAATCAGTGCTAATTGGATTTCGTCCGCGTTGTTTTTCTCATCATAATTTTTATCCGCCGACTAATGTTTAGGTCAGGTTAAAATAACCGACAAAAATAAATAAATAAAAACCAAACCTGTGTTTTTGTGATGGCCTACTTAGACTTGCGTTTCACACACACCTTTTTTCAAAACTAAAAATGTAAAATCACAGTGCTTCTCTGAAGCCTATTTATTCCCGGCACCGGAATGTGTTCCTGAATCTGCACCTGGGAATGACATTGCAAAACAGCCAGAATAAATCACCCCCCCCCCTGCCCCACCCCACCCTCCAAAATGTCGGCCTAGTATTAATGTGTAAACTTCCAATTACCCTCTGCCCCACATAATAAGATGAATGCTGTGTAATATAGGGACAGATATGTTTTTTCTTTTTTTTGTAAGATAAAAAGCCAATTTCCTGAGTTGTCAGGATGTTAAAAAGGAACCAAATGCACACTGTCACATTACATCAGACATCAGGCAAAGAAAAAAGACAGGACTCTGATGATTCCTCTCCCCGCTGCCCTTTGCGTGACCACCACCCATTTCACCCCCCCCCCCCCCCCCCAACACTGTAATGAGTTAGAGAAGGAGTCACTCTGCATTGGTTTAATAAACACTTCTTCATCTCCAGCGTGGCACCTCGGAACCAGCAGCAGGTTTGCCCTTGGGCTAATCTTCAGGCTTAGAGACGACAGCCAATTCCTCACAATTCTGTTTAAACAGCAAACCACAAAACTTTCAATTCCCCCGTGGAGTGAGGGGAAGTGAGGGTGACTGAGACGGGGGGGGGGTGACAGAGGAAGAAATGAAGAAAAAATAAAGTCAGGAGAAAGTGTACGGCGTGGAAAAAGGGTGAGCGGGTCGGAGCGCTAGTCCCCGAGTGATTTATGGTGTTTAGAACGTCAGGATCGTTGGAATTAATGAGGTAGAAGTGGTGACTTGGACATGTGTGCATGTGTGGCTGCAGACGGTGGTCACGTGCACCTGCGGGTCATTTGACAGAGTCATCAATAACGTGGTTTGAAATGACTTTCAAAATGCACCATTGGCAGTAGACGGGACGATGCACTTCATGTTTGAAGCCTGTGGAAGTGGGCGACACCTGGGCCGACCTTGACGGAGGAAAGGAGGACAGACTCAGGCGTCCTGTGTGAGGAAGTGTGGCCTTCTGGGAGCCACAGTGAATATGTATAAAATCAAAGTAGATTTACCAGATTAATAAGTGGTTGAATTTAGATAAATTTAAAGATTGATTTAAATGAATGTTGTGATGTTCTATACCAACAGTAGCTGATGATTGGTTAAAAAAGTTTAGAGACAGAACTGATCGTTTTAGTTGGTTGAAGGACAACAGGTTAGGGAATAAAGAAAAAAGCCATGTCTGACGTGTATGAACAGCTATGACAAGTATGAGTTGGTTGAAGGACAACAGGTTAGGGATTAAAGAAAAAAGCCTTAAACAAACAATGTCTGACGTCTATGAACAGCTATGACAAGTATACATTGTTATCATTTTATTTTTTTTATTCCTAAGATTTGTTTTTTAAAGACATGGCAATCTGTTAAAACCTCTCAAGGTTTGCAAACTATTTATTTATCCCCAAAACTAAAGAAAAAGGTGGAGAGCATGACCTTCGATGAGGCGTTGAAGCAGGTTATGATGGATTTAAAAAAGAAAAAAAACTATTTTATTGTAGCACGGCTTGCCAGAGTTTAGACTTTTAGGAAGGACACGGAACGTAACAGCTTTGTTGTTGTCATTCAAAAATGACTTTTTTCAGATAGTTTTTGGTTACTGTCACTTTAAGGGGGATTCAAAGTTTTATTAAAAATATTTTTTTCATCTGACTCCCGTGGCACTTTCTTGTACTGAGGTGAGCTTTTACAGCTTTTACAGTGTCATTGGAGCTTGAAACGTGTCCAAAAAAATAAAATTAATTTTTTTCCAACTTTGCTCATTCCTAACCCTGACCATCAGCTAATTTACTGCAGACATGAATGGAGTAGGAAAGAATGAAGTAGTAGGATGCAGTAGTATTCTCCCTTTAAAGTATAAAGATGACCATAAACCATCTGTGTTTGAATCTGTGCTGTGATGGCGCCACACAGTGGTGGAGTGGTTAGTGCTGTTAGTTTGACCACCAGGGGTTGGGGCTAATGTTTGCCTCCTGGTGCTAGGACTTTGCAGGATGAGGTTAATTATTGCCTCCTGGTGCTAGGACTTTGCAGGTTAATTATTCACTCTAAATGTCCACGCTGGGACTGGCTCCCAGGTTTGGTTTCCTAAAACGGATTCAACCGTAGAAGACGAACAAACAGATGAATGAATGAATGTGAAATCCTGAAAAACTCAAGTACCATTAGTAATACTCCTTGGTATTCCTCTAGTACGCACCGCAGCTAAGCTGCTACTGTTTCCAGGGAACATTAAAATGCAGATGGCATGAATGTTTCATTATAAGTGCTCACCAGAAATTCTGAGACAAAGAAAAGAAGAGGATTCTGGCTCTTTGTGCACAGAACGCCACAAATCTAAACAATGGGGGAAGGCGTTCGGGAGTTATTTGTCGGTGTGGAAGGAAAAAA